CTAGACTTGGGTTCCATAGCTGCACGATCAGCGTGTAGAAGCATGCAGAGCTAAACGAATCATTCAACTGGGCAAACACCCCTGGATGAGCCCTAAAGCAAAGATCGCGGTCAGCTGCAGATCCGGCTCTATGCACGTCAGCGTCAGTTTCAACCTATCGCGTTTGGGCGCTCGAAGCTTCCTGAGGAATCACTGCAGGAGGCCAGCCAAATGACCCGCGACGGGGATGTTGCGGGTAGCGCTGTGTGGGCTGCGCCATCGCTTCTGCTTCATGTTGATCGGACGACAGCCCCATCACTAGTGTTGCAGACTGGACCCGATGCAAACCGCCCACCGGTGGTTCAGCGTAACCGACTCTCTCGAGACCATCTCACCGGAATATCGTGTTTGAGGGTTCGGAGGATGCCGCCCGTCATCGGACGTCTGTGCTGGCCGTGGCGGGGCTTGAGGGTCGTTTTTAGCCAGGTGGCCCCAATCGAAGTGAGCGCAGGGTAGATTATTTGCGCACGTCACTGCTGTCAGCACAGTACGAGCTTCACGACGATGCGGCAGCGAGCGCGCATTGCCTCTGATCACGCTTCTTAGTAGGTGTAGTTGGGCCCAACGCCCGCGCAGGTCGACGTGCTGCCGTTCGGTGCCATTAGACCCCACGTGGCCAGTACTCTGACAGCGTCGGCTGCAGCTCGGCTGCTCATTGTTGGCGAGAGGACGACTGCGTCGCCAGATGTTGGCATCCGTATGATTCAGCCCACGGTCCAATATTGGCCTTCTGGAGCTCCACCTGGAGCCGTGCAGGCCGGCGCCACCGCTGCCAGCGTCTGGTATTGACCCGGAACCTGCCATCTGGGCCAGCTTCAATAATCCAGAGCCGCGCTTCGGTACGGCGTTTGCCGCCCATCCATCGGTCATGAGTCGGGCAGGCTCGATGTCTACGGCGCCGAACTTCTCGACTCGGGCGCGGCAATATCCTGCCGTCTGTGGGGAGGCGATGCACTCTGTTGGGGGCGGCTGACAGAGTTCCCCGACTGGCTGTGACCGCGGCAGTCAAGAGGCAGCCGAGCACGCTAACCGCGGCAGTTGAGAGGAAGCCGAGCACACCAGGCCGCTGAAGGCCGCGGACTGCGGCGGGTGGGCGGGTTGACCACGCCACGCATCCGGGTACCACAGCGGAAAGGTCCTGGTAACTGTGTAAGCTTGCTCTTCAGGCCCGCTGCCGGCTTCGGACTAGTTTATTCATCAGAGCTTGGATAGTTCGGATGCTCTGTTTCTTAATGGTTTCAATGAATGCACAATGGTGTTGGGTATTACGACAGCGAAGCGGTGGGCACAAGCGGTGCCTTGGACTTCAGTGGATTCTGGTAATATTGCACACTATTAGCGCTATAAAAAAGATTCATGTCGCATGAGATGACCTGAACAACTCAACGGCCGGGTCTACTTCGTTATATGATGTTGGCCGATACAAATATGCCTGCAGTGATCTTTTGATCAGACCTCTAACGCTGTGAGTTCTTGGCTGTGTTGACTTTTGCATAGCTAACCTGCAATGTTGTTTCAAAACAGAAGAAAGTCTATGGTGGAAGTAAGGACATATTGCAGCACATGAAAATAACACTAATTAATCATCATACGATTTATAAACCTTCGCCAGACAGAAACACCATCTCTCGTTGCTCGCAAGAGTCCTTCCTGGTTACTCGCTCCAGAAAACAAATACTGCTGAGGGGCTTTGTCGTCTGTGCTCTCCGAGACCATGGCGGACTGTCTGAATCCCTCCACAGTCAGACGTGATGGTGTTGGCGGGCGCGCCAGCACTGACCTGCGCTTCAGCAACGTCTCTAGCTCGTAGACGCGTTTCTCCAGGGCCGGCACCTGACCCGCCGTGACCTCCAGCTCCTTGACACGACACACAGCGGTCACCAGCAGGTGGCGGGTCTGGGTCAGCTCCACCAGCAGCTTCCGTCTGCGAAGAAATCAAAGAGGCACCGTCAGCTGACCGTCTGAGCTCGCCGGAATCACAGCAAGCGGTGTTTTCTTTTGGGGGATCAGAGTTATGCACCGCCAGGCTGTCAGACGCTGTTTGTTTTTGATAAACCGGCGCGTTGGAATCGCACCACTTGACGAGTGACTCAGGTGCTGCCCGGCTGCTAAAACTGGGTCATAAAAAGCGCCCCGTCATCCGCCTTTGTGGCTGGCAGTTTATTGGAAGCGAACCAAACGGTAATCAATTAACTGCGTCCATAAAACAGGCCGAGATTGGTCTGGGCCGGAAGGCTGTCCGACGCGGCATGGACGAGGCCAGGGAGCGGCCGTGCAGTGTAGGGCGGACCTCAGCAGCACTGGGCTCACGCCCAGCAACCTGGCACGCAACATCCAGCGCTGCGAGGGGGGCTAGTTTTGGTTGGCATTGAGCGAATGCTTTCAGGGTTGGCTGCCGGCGAGGTGCTACCATGTGTCTAATCCGGCCAGAATTACAGCCATCAGGCGAACTCTAGCGAGGTCACTGTCTCGCCACGGCTCGCATCGTTTCAGCTCGCAGCGCCGACGAGTCCACTGACCGCGCCCGCTTGTCATTCACATGTGGCACCCAGTCGGCCACATCCATCACGTGTGGGGGAGGGGGGGGGGGGGCTGCGTGGCAAGGTTAGTAGAACGTTGGCCCGCGACCCCGTTCGCCGTCGCCGGCTGGAGGCAGGCCATCTCCGTCTCCTGCACAACCGACGCGAAGGCTGGTGGCTTTAGGCGACCAGGGAAGTCTAGTGGTCTGCAAAATATCCGAAATATCATGCGTGCCCATTGCATGAGACCTTCAACCATTCTGGTATGTCACATAACTGATTTGGCAGCCCTTCTCCGCCGAGCGACGCGCCCGACTATTTGCGTCCGTCGCGTGAGCTGGCGTTGCATCATCGCACCGTCCCTTGTGCCACCTGACTGGAACTCAGATCACCCAGCTCGGCCAACTAACGCTTCTTCACCGCGTGACAGGACGCCGCTGGTGTTTCCAGTCCAATGGCCTCCATTCACCACTGCTCGGTTGTTAGGATGAAGTCAGCGCGCGCTGCCGTCCGCGCGGTGAGTCACTTTCGAAGGGGTCGTTACTGGGAGCGGTGGCAATGACCAGCCCTTAGCGCCTGATGAGCCTGCGGCCCCCGGACGCTATCTGGCAGACCTTTCCGTGACCTGACCACGCCTGACGGCGCTGTGCAGGCCTGCCAGCACAACCAGACTGTGGCAAGCACAGTGCAGCGACACTGTCATCCGCCCATGGAATGCGCGTGTAATTCACTAAAAGATCAAATGGATGTCGCAGTAATTCGACAGATAAGTTGTGGTCACGGAATGATGCGACGCGCGAGCTCCAGAGTCGGTAATTACGACGTGAATATATGTGCATATGTCTCAAAAATAAATTGCGAGTCGGTGCGGAACGCTGGGTGCAAAACTCTCAGATAGCGTAGTGACCGGAAGTCGACTTTTTACAGATTCAGTCTTAACCTTTTACTGTATGGATTTCTTGGAGCAGCGCCCACGCTAATCAGGACTTGTATCAGCGCTGCCTCCACCATCCGATCTTAAAATGTCCGGTGAGCGGCAGAATCCTGCGGCGAAAGTTAAACGTGCCGCCATGTTCGCACGGTCTGTCCTGCACCCCTGACGTCAGTCGGCCCATAGCGCACCGCGCCACCGGCTGCAGAATATCCTGATCAAGCGCCAATAATGAGGCCGCCTGAAGCGATTCAAACCACTGCACACGCCTATACAAACCCAAGCGATCGGAAGCAGACGGAAAGATGGCGTGCCAAATGGCGGCCGGCCAAATAACCGCGTAAAAAATGATTCACGGTTGGTGAATGGTAAAGTGGTGACTGTGTAAAAAGATGTGCCAACGCACAACGCCTAATTCCGCCAGAACCGTCCCGCCCTAGACCGCTCTGGATGACCAACTCACGCCATGTCCAGTCACGAAGCGTTCTATTTCACCTTACCAGTTTCCTGTCAACCTAAACAAGCTGAGATTGTCTGCGACTGTGATGCAAGCAGGATACCAAACCACTGGCGGACAGGACGCAGCACCAACAATTCTCAGACACCATCATGGACTCACGTGGCATTCTTCAGAAAGCGTCGAAGCGCATGGACAAAACTCTTATTATCCTCCACGCGCAAGACAAGATAAAAAAGGCATAACTTCCCGGACCGGTTCTAGAAAGCGCACTACACTGATTGGGCCCAAGTTTCCACAGGTGGTGCACATCTGACGACTGAACTGCGTCTTCAGACTGAACCGCGTCTTCAGAATCCGTCAACGTCGCGATACCAGCCAGTTGCTTCACGGCATCCTTCGGGACCACCGAACTCCTGCAAACTTTGATCACCGGCTGCATCAGCTGTGATATACGTCCCTGCTTTCATCCCGGACTTCCCTCGCTGATCTAAGGTCAAGCCCCAGCTCAGGGCAGCATCCAGAGACACAACGCCCAGCGCCTGCGGTGCGATCAGCAATGTTCCGTGCGAAGTCCCGCGCCCCACGTCAATGAAAGGTCCGCACGATGGCAGCCCGGGACAGGTGGGGCTTTCTAGCAGGATTACAGAGGGGCACCACTGGTCCCGTCTCCACGGCCACCTGCGCTGAGGCCGGTCCCGAGCGCGAAGTCGGGACGGCACGGGACGAAGGACGGGACGAGGCCGGGACCGCACGGGACGAGGGAAGGGACGGAGCCGGGACCGCAAGGGAGGAGGGACGGGACGGGACCGGGGTGGCATGGCACAATGGACAGGACGGGACCGGGACGGCACAAGGGACGTGATGGGACCGAGTTGGCACGGCACGAGGGATGGGACGGGGTCGAGGTGGCACGGCACGATGGACAGGACGAGGCCGGGACGGCACGAGGGACGGGACGGAGCCGAGGTGGCACGGGACGAGGGGCGAAACCTGCTCCACTGGGTGGCGGCGAAGTGATCGCGCGATCGACCGCTGGCCGTGGAGGGCGGCGGCGCCGGCTCCTCCTAAGCGTCTCGTAAATGACACTTTTACTGCAACAATTTGTCAAGGTCCTCCTTTTACGTGGGCTAAAATGAAGGAATTCTTTACCAGATTAGTTTCTACAGGTTTCTCATCAGAGACATTGTGGCCTCTCCATGGACCAGCAGGCACCCATGAACTTCGCAGGCTTCTGACTTGCCGTGTCTATGACCCGTGAGAGTTGGAGATAGCTGCCGGTGAACCCAGTTAGGCATGCTCAGAGCAGTCCCGAACGATGCCGTTTTAGCGGAGCGATGCTGTATGCACCTCACCGCGAGTTGTAGCCAGCAATATTCGTCTCCATGGATGTAACTCACACATCTACCCTCTGTGCAAGCTTCCCAGTACAGCCCAGAGTTCTTCGTGGATCTCGGACATCTGTAACTCATTTTAGAAAAGTTTGTTACTACGGGTACTATAGATGCTCTCAATGGCTGGGCTTAGTGGTTAGGGAACGGCTGGGCTCAGGATTCAACTATGATTGTTCCCTTCCACGCTACTAAAGTTGAAATGGGCCTCGGAGGCTGCAGATTTCTGCTGGCATCATGCGAGCCTATATTAATCGAGCTGGGATAGAGCACTGTTTACCAGCAGCATTACTGAACGTATTTTGGAACTGAAATCGTAAAAGCATTACTACATTACCAATCAGGGACTGAATGCAAAAAAGCACAGCCATTTATATGGCTCTCGTTGATTTCCCTGTCTCACCACGGACTCTGTGTTTGTGTCTGTACATACCACTCACGCACAATTTTTGATCCCACATATATATGCATGGTATTGTTTCATTGGGCAGTGGATGAACGTATTTATATGTATGCTTTGTATCGCCTTCGGATGTTAAGCGAAAGGTTCCGCATTGGAATATGTTGAAGCAAGCATCAGATAGGATGAAGTAAGCTCACTTATAACTAATGACGAATTTTTAGTGGAAAGGACTGCTGCAGACAACACCTTCTCTTTATAGTAAATATGCTTGTCAGTACGCCATTACTTGATTACGTCACCGCACCGTGTACACCATTTTTGAAAACCAGCGGACGGTCATTTTATCTCGAAATCGTGCTCACAAACACTAGATATGGATGGCTCAGCAATTGCATTTTTCTTGGCCCTGCTCGCTGCATGACTAATGAAAACGCAAGATTTGAATGGCATTATGACGCCATCATGGCTGCCTGGGTGACCTTGAAATAGTCTCCTCGACATCGTCTGCACATGTTCACGGGCGTGTAGCACAGACACCAGAAGGGTCTCGGTCTTGAGAAGGGCAGAGCTGTGAACTGCATCGAATGATCTTCAAGTTGGCTACTTCAGCTCAAATGCCCTATGCAAATGCAAAACACTCACTATGGCTGCGCTGCGCAAGGCGAACCGGGGAAAATTTTAGGTGTGGCCCATCGAACCAGAAGACCAAGTGTATCAGTATTCTTCTACAAATGTTATGGCAGCGCTTCACTCCACAAAGATGGATACACTGCGGCGCTATAACTCACAGTCATTCGTCTTTTTTAGGCGATGGACATCCTCACGACAAAATATTGCATTTTGAGACGGATTATCAGCATTTGTATTTCAAAACAACAAAATGGCAAATTACATTTCGTTGGTCAGGGAAAGACGCAGCCACCGTCGAGCTCCGCGGAGAACAGATTATTCAAGGACTGGCATTCCTCACCCAGGTTTCCAAACCATTCCACTCATTCTTATAAGCTATCTTACAGGGTATCTTTAACCCATGATACTATTTTCCTAATCATGACGGGTACAGTAACAGCCACCAAAATGTGTGAATATACAGGCTTTCGAATGCAAAGCCAAAAAGCAGGATGAGCAAGGTAAAGCTGGGACTGAACGGAGTAGGTTGAAAATTGGTAAACATTGAAGAAGGTAGGTTAAAAGGGCACTAAACGGAGCTTGCTATGTAAGCC